GTTAGAGGTAAAAAATGTTGTAATGTTAGTTGTGTATGCAAATTCCAAGCTGGGCTTTTAGTTGCAACAATAACTAGTAGAACTTGCATTTGTCTTTTTTTTTTAATTAATGATTATTTTTGCCTCTTAACTCTATTTTTATAATATATTTTTAATTTTTTTATTATAAAATATTTCAATTCATGATTCTTATTGACCCTTCAAGTTGAGGTGAAAAAATGATCATTAACCAAATATTTTATAACTAAATTAAAAAAATATAATATGAGGCTACTAACAATGAAGCAATAACAATGTTAGATTATATTAACCAAATATTTTAATTTTTGAACCCAGATGAAACCCAAAACCCAGCTAATTAGCGGGGCTCATTAATAGGACCATATTTTCCTAAAATCAATAGCACAAAAATCTATAAAATAAATTCTTGGATGTATTGGACGTATCCTGTGATCCATTATATTATTCATCCAATAAAATTATATTAATTTAAATAAATAAAATTTTATGTGTTATTATTTTTAATGAATTTATTTTTATAATAATAAAATGTGCGTTTAATTTTTTTATTTTTTCTCTACTATTAATGTTATAATCAATTTATATTATATTTAATGTATTTGAATGTCATGCTTTTATTAGATATATTATGGATGATATGGTATAGTGGGTTCATTTAAGAAATTTTTGAACACTTATACATACAAAAAATATTACTCACTCCGTTTAAAAATATAAGATATTTTTAAATAAATTTTATCTCCAATAAAGTAGTTATTTATATATTTACTCCTGTTAAGCATCTTATAATAAATATAAAGTTACTATCAATAAGGGTATTTTTGAAAAAAGTCAATGATTATATCTTGAAAAATTATAAATGCTTTATATTTTTAAACATCTAATTTTTTAAAAAATATTTTATATTTTTTTAATGAAGAGAGTATAATATATAGAGATGGAGCATGCTGGAGCATTTTACATGTAGAAGGTTCTGGTACATCGTTTTTATATATATATATATATATATATATAGATATATATGTTTTTCAGTAAATAAAATCCATCAGGGAATTTTTTTAAAGAATTTACTACAGCATTTATAATTAAAAACGATTTATTAATTTTTTAAGAAATATTTTAAAAACATTTACCAGAGCGCTTTTTAAAATGCTCCAGTAAAAATATTAAAGCCTCCCACAATACATTTCAAGCCAAATGAAAGGTCCCGTACGTCACGTGAACGTAATCCCATATTCCCATGACACATTTTGAGTTTTTCACAATCCACTGTGAGTGACCAAAAAAAAAAAAAAAAAGAAAAGAAATAGAGAATCCCAAAAATGCCAAAAAGGTTAACGCAACGGTGCATTTTGACTCTAGGATACTCTCCGACGCTCCTCTGTTGTGCTTCGGACTGATTCCAGCCGGTGTTTTCTCTCTGGCGTGCTCGTGCTCGGGCCCGTGAAATCGCGCTTTGCATTCATTTCTCCTCACTGGTTCACACTCCCTGCCGAGTACAGGAGATGGAATTAATTGGATTCTTTCTTACTGATTTCTGATCTCGTCCGCCAATTTTATCCAATTCGCTTCATACGGTACTTTCTTTGTTCCTTGTATCAGATGCCCGCTTTTATCTTAGTTACCAAATTAGCCGTGTTGAAATTGATATTTTTCCAGATACTTTTCTCGGCTTGAAAATGGTGTCTTCTCTTATTTGATAAACTGACGAATCAAATCTCTGAATTTTTCTTTTATAATTTAATTTTGTTCAAGGTTGGTATCTTCCTACTCTGTGAGTTACCCTTCTTGGAGGTCCTGTTGAATGAGTTCATCTAAAGAGGGTACATTTTGGGGGTGCATTTTAATAACCCTTGGCTCTATATTCTTTGCTGGGTACTTTTCTGCTGCAATTATTTCCAAGCTTCTCCCGCCTTCCAATGTAGTGATGATGTCTGCCTTGCAAAATGACTGGTAATCAATTATAGTATCATTATACAAAGAATGCAGGTTGTATTTATTTATTTGATTTTATCTGCTTTGTTCATTTATGGACGGAAATAATGCATGAATAAATCATAAGACCTCGATGTTGAATTATGTTCCATACTGGGCTTTTTATTTTTGTAATTAATGTAATGTCAGTAGATTAGATGTATTACGGTTTTATCTTTCATGCTACAAGTTGATATGTTTGACTGTCACTATCTCTGTTTCATTTTGATACAGATTGTTACATGATAATATTTTGATTATACGAAATAACTTGGTTAAAGTTTTATCCTTGCCATTTTGAGTATGTAGATGTCGTGGAGGATTGCACATGGGTCAATTGTGGGCAATGATTTAGAAAATATTTTGTTAAATCTTTTATCATTTTGGATCTTAGTTTTTAATTTTGCTTTGAGGGCAGATAAATTAAATGCTTTTAACGTCTTTTAAGATTTCAGGCAGTCAGCTCTGAGGTAAAACTATAGAGATATTTATGGTATGTGTATTTTCAGAGAGAACCAGCTTGTAAAAGTATATCAGTAGAGTTCTGTAACCATTTTTTTTATTGTTAGAAATGAGCTCATCTGTTATTAAAAAAAGAAGAAGAAGAAGAAATGAGCTCATCAGTGTAGGAACTCCTTCCTACCCTCAGGATGGTGTGCCTTCAAAATAGCTGAGGTCCTTTAGCTTCATGTCTAATATACTACTGCCGAGCTTTATCAGCGAGACACATGCTATGGATAATGGGATGGCCAAATGATAGTGGGAAGCTTGTGCCTTCTCATTTATTAAGGGGGTCTACATAAGGTTCTTGATCATTTGATGCAAATAACTCATAGTTTATGCTTGCCAGAACATGATTGATGCAGTTATTCTGTGTTAAGATTGCTGGTACTATTAGTTAGCATCCCATATGAATGATCTATTGAAATATGATGCTTTATTTGGTTTAATCAAGTGCCCAATCAAGCATTTTCATAATTCATTCTGAATGACAAAAAAATCACGGATAAAAGGCATATAATATATAGTCACAGTGAAGCACACAGCAAAACAAATTAGTCCTCAAACTGTGAAGAGAAGCCTCATGCTATCGTCAGTATTGTTTGGAATTTCCTCCATCACCAGTTATGTACAGTGTAGAAATTGAGGTTACTTTATTTGTGATGGAGATGCTTTGACTCCAGTAACAGGGTAGTGTTTCAACAAATGAAATGGTTATCTTTACGGGTGCAAACTTACAACCAACCTATTTAGGTTAAGTCTTTTAGCTTTTAGAGAATACAGGGAATTGTTTGTTACACTTCTATCTTAAATTCCTATTTCTTAGGTACCTAGTATTCCTAGATATGAGATTTTAGGTTACAAGAGCACTGTTATCTAGTGTTTAGCAATCTCATGTATGGTGATTGAAACTTATCAAGGAAAGGACACTTTTGTTACACCTTATAGATAGAAGTTGACAAAGCTAAGAATTGAGGACATAAGATTCCCAACGTTTTTGGGTAGTATGAAATGTCATTGAAACATTGGGATCCTAACAATCAAAGCTTGTTATAATGTGCCAAACACATGAACCTTGGATATCAGGGTACCAAATGCAGTTATCTTCCATGCATGGATTGAAATGATGACATGTCAAATGCCTTCTTGTGTGAGATCTGCCGCTTCCAAAGAGTACTGCCTTCGAATATGCACATGACGTTCTTGAATTCATCCTGATGAATCGTTAACTGTAATAATATATTGGAAATAACCTTTAATCTTTTTCTCTCGTGATTCTCTTCCAGTTCGATTGTTTCTTAAAAAAACTATTTATAGGCTTTTCATTTGTATGTTTTACTGATGTTATTATGACTATTCTTAAGAACTTGATCATTATTGTTGTTAGTAATAATGCTGCTATTACCATTCTGGTTTTCTATTTTTTTTTATTACTATCTATCTCCCTCAGACATTTTTTTCAGATCATATATTCTTTTTCCTGATCTGTATTCAGCTTTTTATAGGTATTACTGCTTCTTGGTGCCATTGACTCTCCCCATGGTTGTGGTTGCTGTATACTGTCATTGGCTAAGCATGAAGATATTCAAGCATGCTTAACTTCTATTATTCATCATCACTTCATCATTTGGAAGCATGCAAGATATCTTTCTGCTTCATAGAAAACGGACGTACCACTCTCTGAGGTCAGCGCTGGGTTGGCCCGGCTTCCCAATTAACTTACACATTCATTCAATTTGCCTCTGCTTTTATGTCAATTCATTTGTTGCATTCTGCCTTGTTGATTTTATAGACTTATCAAATAATGGTTGTTTCACCTTGGAAGCCTGGCCACAACCTCTTTCAGATTCAGGCCTCTTGTCATTCACTTGTTTTCATGCATTAATATCAATATAGAATTTATAAGTTGTGAATAATGTAGCTCAATTCTTAACCTTTGTGAAATGTATAGGATTTCTTCTAATGTTATGTAGAAAACTAGAAACTCAATACCTAGTATAAATGATTTTGAAGCTATTTTTGGGAAGGAAAGAGTGGTGCCACTTTGGTATTCGTTAATCTCTTACAAAATATTTATGTTGATGGGTGGTTTTTGAATTTCTCTTTCGCGGTGCTTCCAGGGATGACAAGCTTATTGCAACTCTTCTCGTGTTTTAGTCCGAATGAAATGTGAATTGACCAAAAAAAAAAAAAAAAGGAAATATAAGGTACTCAAAACTGGCTGCCTGAGAGTTGAGGAAAGAAAATAAACTTCAACGACAACTACAAAACTGCCAAATAAAAAAGAACTTTTCTATGTTACATTTTTATTAGCAAAAATTTTAATTAAATAAAAAATGTAAATTTTGGTCGTGGTAATCATGTATATATAATAAAAACAATTACCTGGAAAAAATAATTAAAAAAATTAAATTACATACTTAATGTATGATAAAAAATATTTACTTATTATGCTGTAACTAAATTGAAAATAAATGCAAAAAAACAATGCTGATTACAGCTAATAAACTTAACGTCAATGATTTAGTAGTACACTCATTGTTCTGAATATCAAACCTCTCCTAATTCAAAGACATTAAATTAGTTAAATCATGAAATAAGCTAGAAAACGAACCTAAACATAATGTATGATAAGAAAAAACTTTATGGGAAAGACACGGCGACAGGGCTTCTCACGACATGGTCTTTAGCAGTCCAAGCATAGGATCCAAAATAATAGAGATCTGGATCGTACTGGGTGGGGTAATTCCAGCTAACGACTGTGATGGTGATGTTGAAGCTCAATTCCTGACCAATATGATCAAACACCAGAACATTCGGAGAGGCAGTGATAGTATATTCCTTGGGTGCCTCAGAATGGAAGGTGTAAGTAGAATTGCTGCGTCCAACGTTGGTGACTCTTCTAGTAACGGTCTTGGTTCCAAGGAGCCTGGAAATTTGTATGGATGGGTAGTTGAGGTTGACTGGTTCAGGCACTTCAGCTGGACATTGATACGGAATATTCATGCCGTGTGTCAGTCCAAGGCCACAGGTATAAAGAACGTAATCCTCGTAAGTGGCATTATAAACCAGTCCAGGATCTGCTGCTTTCAGAGGTCGCAGGTGGCCTGATCCCATTTCGAATGGCGTCGCAGGTTTTCCATCTTGATCCGTTATTGGATTTCCTATGTTATCTGTCGTCGAGGCTGTAACAGAACCAAACATATGCACACATGTCAATGCAACACAAAAGACTGGTATATAGATCAGCTCGTATGTAAAGAGGATGGTTTGAAGCTGAATTACCTGTGGTCATGAGGGCAGATTTAATAGCTGATGCACTCCAAGTAGGGTGAATGGCTTTGATAAGAACTGCTGCAGCAGCAACATGAGGAGTAGACACAGAAGTTCCAGACATTATATTGTACTGAGTCTTTCTCATGTCGCCACCCTTACTATTTCTTGTAGGCCCATCCACATCTGTCCATGCTCCCAATATCTCGCTTCCTGGAGCTATTATGTCAGGCTGCAATATAATCATCACATCAATATATAGCCTTCAAAAGCAGGCACACCAATTAAGTCAACATGCACGCACGCACGAAGTTATATATAGAAGTTACCTTTATGAAGTTAGGGTCAATAGGATTTGGACCCCTACCAGAGAAGGAGGTAATGGTGGGTGCCGGTTTAGAATTGAAGGATGTGCGCCCAGGAAGAATGCGAGCCTTAGGGTCCTTAGTAGTTCTTATGTAATGGATGAGCTTTTTGGTATCCTCAAAAGCAACACCAGTGGATGGAATTTGATTGGGCAAACAGGAAACATCATTCCCATGATCAGGATCATTTCCCAAGATGAAACCTAGCCCACCTTTGTTTTTAACTTCCAGGCTTTGATGTAATGGACTACCTTTCCCCCTCAGACACATCACTATCTTCCCTTTCACCTTCTCTGAGTCAAGACTGCCGTCCAGACAATACCTGCACACACACCCCTCACACACTTGTTATTATAGCCAAATTAACGTATAATCATCACCAGTGTTCAATTAGGATTGAAGAATCACCCTGAATCTGTTTCAGAAATCGTTGGTTTTTCAACATCGCTGGCCAACACCAAGCTGTGCAAACTGTTGTCCATTTGCACTGGAGTGATTGATTGTCCCTGGTAATGTTATATAGCAGTGATCAATAAAAACAGCCATATAATGCTATCGGGGTTGAACACGAGCCATGTATGCAGAAACTGTTATAACTCACCTGAATTTTTGTGCCATTGGCAAGAACAAGAGGAGCAGGAAAGGTTCGATCTGTATGACTAGCACCAACAGTGATGAGCCAAGGAGCAACATTGGTCACAGTTTGATCATCAGGTCCGCTATTGCCGGCACTAGAAACCACCACGATATTCTTCTTCAAGGCGTGCAAGGATCCGATAGCACTCTTGTCGCGTACAAAATTCTGAGCGTCATCGAAACCGAAGGAGAAGCTTATTACGTCGACGCCGTCTCCGATGGCGTCGTCGAAAGCCTTGGTGATGTCCAAGTCGTCACAGTGATTCCCTGACTCAAAAGAACTGCCTGGCCAAACCCAGCATACCTTGTATATGGCGAGGCGGGCCATGGGGGCGCCTCCGGACGCGGTGCCACCGGCAAAACCGCCGTAGCCTCTGACATTCGGAACGGTGCGTCCGGCGATGATGGAAGCCAGGTGAGTGCCGTGGCCGTCTTTGTCACGAGCTGATTTGATGTCCTGGGATTCGTCTAGAAGACCAAATGTGCCTTGATATCCATTCAGGTAGTACCGAGCTCCAATGATCTTTCTGGATCATAAAAAATTCAAACACTGCATGTTTCCCTGTATGTTCGGTTAAATTTTTGAATTTATTGAATTATTGAATGAATTTTAATATCTTTTAAATATCTCATTTTTCATGCATCTCAACGATAAAAATCAAGAATTGATGTTATAATTTATAAATAATTGAATTTGTGCATCAAAATCCTCTTGATATACAGAATTATATAAGTTGTGAGAAAATTATCTTTAAATCTTATCTTTCAAACGATGTTCCCTGTTTTTGATCTTCAGGTTAGTATAATGATGTTCATAGTTAAATGTAACGGTTTATTTGTTATAATTAAACTAAAAAACAATATAGTATAAACAAAATAAACAAAGACTTATAAGGATCACAAATCTGCAAATGATAAAACCAATCAAATCTTCGTAAGCGGTTTTATTTATTTTTCATATACAGTTTCTTAGGTCTAATTTAAAAAAAAAAAAAGGTTAAAAAGCTTACAATATCTAAGGTAAAATTTGTAAAATTTGTGTATATATTCATCACTTGAAATATATATATATATTTTACTGAGTTTTAAAAATTGGACACGTGCTTAATTAAAGAATCTCATCTGACCCTAATAATTTTGGGTGAAGATTGAATCAAAGATTTCAAATGTCTAGTTTAATCTGGGCAATCGAAGTAAAGCATTTTAGAATCAACAAGACAAGAACAAAAGGCAGGAAACAATCATGGTGATCGTGTTCAGTTGCAAACTCAACACCTGTTAATAAATGATACTGTAACTCTCACAAAAAGGGTTTAATGAAGACGGCTTGAAGGATTAATTAATTAATGTGACGTCATGAATAATGAATTATACTAATAAATACCGATTACAGGTAGATGCATTGAAAGCAGTTCCATTTTGGCAGATTCCCTTCCATCTGGCAGGAACCGGGTCCATTCCTTCATCACTGAAGCTCTTGGATTCTGGCCAAATTCCTATTCACACACACAGTTTCATATGATCAGCACCGCAGTCTATTCAAATAAATATGATTAATATTAATTAAGATATATAATTAAGGACGTACCAGTATCAAGTATGCCGACTATGATGTCTTGGCCATACTTAGCTCTGGACAAGATGCCATCATCATCATCATCATGATCATGATTTGCAGGGTGCTTCAAATCCAGAAAGTTCCATGATCTTGTGGTGTGCAGAGAGTAGGCCTTTCTTCCCTTGCTCTCTCGCACTGACACCACTCCTTTGATTCCTGTGTTCCAATCCATAATTGTAACCTTATTGTTATTAGTTCATTGTTTAATCGCCCAATAATCATTCATTAATCATTAATCATTAATCATAATATTTATTTACGGGCAAGTCTGGAGGCTTCTTCTGGAGTGAGGGACGCCGCGAGGCCATTGAAGCTGTGCTTGTAACTGTAAAGATGACAAGCTTCTGCTTCTTCGTCTGTCTCCTTCACGAGACGCAGATAAGAACGATGAATGTCTTCCATTTCATGAAGCTGCACATCTTTATGCTGCTCTCCGAAATCCACTATGTAGTTCTGCACCATTAGATTAAAATGATTTAATGTGGTCATGTGAAGCTAAACACGATCTATGATAAAGAAAGACTAAACGAGAATTAATGAATCACCTTGTTGCTGTTGCCGATGCAGAAAGCCATAGGAAAAAAGAATATGAGCAGCACAAATGCAGCCATCAATCTCTTGGTCGCCATTGCTGCTGATTAGGTAAATACTTTTTTCATAAGGAGGATTTATGTATATATAGAGACTGTAGTGCCAAATTCTAAACCAAGTGCGAATTCTAAATATGTATACCAAAAAAATAGTTCATGTAGGCGCAAAAAAAAAAAAAAACAGATATTTTGAATTAATTAATGGTCATTCATTCTATATATAGTATAATATAAAGAGTAGTTTCGATATACTTAAACTTATATAGATTTATAAAAAGATATTTCAAATTAATAACTAACTAATAATTATTATATATATTCCCAACCAAACCAAAATAACTAAATTTAATTTAAATATTAAATTAAAATTAAAAGTATTTATAACAAGAATGTCATATAAACTTAACTTAATATTCAGTTGTTTTGATTTATTGAAAAAAGATGGACCGAGCATACTTGTTCAATGATCCAATGTTTTTTTTTTGTTTTTTAAATTTGAGCAATGCTTTTATTTTTAATATTACTAAAATTAAAATATTCAAATAAAATCGTAATTTATTCTGTTATTTTCTTGGCCAAATTTATTTTCAGTAAATATTTTGAACTAAATTGTCTATTTAATTAATGATGAATTATTATTAAAAATTTTATATATAATTATATATTGCATATTTCAATATATATAATATATATATATATATACATATCCATGCTACATCTACTGATCAATTTTCATTTTTTAATTACAATGAAATTAAAATATCAGATAATATTGTCATAGTCATAACTGATTCTGTTAATTTAAACAGTAAAGAATATTCTCTTCTACAGGATATGTTTAAATTAGATATCCTAAATATTCCCACCATAAGATACAGAGATATTCTTAATCACTATCCTAAATAGACTCCTTAGGATACGTGTGAATCTATTTACAATATAATGAATTTTTTTTTCTCTTTTAGCGTATAAAAAAATTTCACCTTGCTATTTTTATAGAATATAATTATTAATATAATACATGGGGGTTACATGTTCCAAATCCTTATCTTTCAAATTTTGTTACTCGAGTAACATCTTATGTTAAGGTGTAGCTTTGATTACAAATAATTTTTACGTGACATTATATTTTTGTCATCTTTGTAACTTTTTAATTGATGGAACAATTGTTTAACTTAAGTTTTTTCAAGCATATTGTTATAATGCCCCTGCATGAGAATATGTTTATAACTAGTTAATTTGCTCCTACCTTCAACTAACCTTTTTTTTTTTAATGTTTGACCTTCTAAATTTGTGACAAGTGAATTTCTGAATTAATAACAATTGGCATTGTTATATATCTTTAATTTTTATTTTTAAACTTCAATGTCATTTGATTTTATTTAATTCATTATCAATTTAAATTGATAAATTTGATTTGATACAATTTAATTAATACTAATATAGGAATAAAGATTATCTTAAATTTATTTGACAAGTGTTTTGTTCATGACCAGTCTAATCTAATTTTGATATTAATCATTAATCCTTAAACCAAAATCTTAACCTATTTAAATAAGTTCGATTAATCTCATTTCAAACCATGGGTTCATCGTCATCTCAAAACTTGCAAAATTATAATTGACTGGGGTTTAACGAGACTTTCAACAAATTTTGATTTTGGTACATAAAAACAAAATGTCACTGCCACCATTTGCTAACAGCATCCTCTTATGCGGTATATGTAATTTGTACTCTTCCTTCAATTTTAAATAGTTTGAGTTTTACACATTTAATTTAAATTTTTTAAATTTATTACTGGAAATCATTTTTACTGACGTTTTATTATTTTAATTCAGCGGTCCCAATTAAATTGAAATGATTAAATTTATATTTTATTAAATGCTTCATATGATTCTTTATGTCAATTTGTTAGCACTACAATAACCAACATGTCAATTTGGATTATGCTAAGTTTACTTGATAGCTGGAAGATTTTGATGAGACCACATGCTACGTTAACACCAGGAAGCAGCTTTCATTAAGATCGAAGATTAGATCCTTCGTTGAGATCAAACTTGACAAAAAAGGCAAACAAATTTGTCTATTTCAAACACAAAAGAATCTCATAAGGAAGTACGACGTAGCATCTGAAGAATAAGATGATTCATCATGATTGATTTCTACTCAATGGCTATATAGATCAATCTCATAGTTGTTAGGCTGCAGGTATTTTCATAAAACCATAGGTCAGCTCATGTCAAAGCAAAGCAATAGGTACACTTTTGGTTGGCAATATTCACACTACAACTATATCAGAGACCTTCTCGACAACTCTTGACTACTTTCAGACATTCAAATTGTTGACAAGATATATAGAACCGTGAGGATATCATTCAAGTTGATACTGATGATGCACGATCCGCCAGGTCCTTCAAGAGTTGGACAACATCATCTGATGTTTTAAGAATATATCTTGCGCTTGATCTCTTTCGCGCAACAGCACAAGAGAAGTAATTATCACCTTTAAGATCAAGCACCGACGAACCCTCTCGCAGTGATACTCTATCATGATATGTCTGCGGCAATGGAATCCCAATTGCTTGATCCATTTTTCTCTTTTCTAAAGTTGACATGGAGAGTTGCTTCTTGAGTCGAGCTGCCTTAGACCAATTTTTTGCTGGCTTGTAAGGGTTGGATAGCATAGCTCTTGCTGTTGTCGGTGATTCAGAGGGGAGCTCCGGCTCAAAAAATGAGTAGACATCTTCATCCTGAAACAATATGTTTCTATGTATAGAAGTTCATAAACTTGTTATATAAATTCATGTTAAGATCTCAAACAAAGACTAATTGAATAAGTTCCTTTAAACACTAACTAAATAAAAAAATACAAGTTGGATATAGAATAGGGAAAATAGACTGGTCTGACCCTAAAAGTCAGTTCTTAATGAGCTCAAGCTTAAAAAGACCAGTCCATTTAAGCTCACTTACTTTTTAAAACCTTCATATGCTAAACTCGACCCTTAGCATAGTTGACTCAAATAAATAAATAAATAGATGTAGGCTTAAATGGGCAGCTCTCTACCTATTTGGACTAGCTTGTTTAAGCCTATTTAAAATGTAGTCCATTAAGACTAGAATGTTTGAGCTTGTTTTGCAATTTTAGAGTTCTATATATAAGCCTAACTCTCTTATTAAACGAGCTAGTTTATCTGACTTGGCATGTTTTCCTAATTCTAGTTTGATATGTTTAATTACTATCATAAATAAACATGTTTCTATTTTTGGTAAGGATAAGATAGATGAATTGGATATCCCACACACACAAAAAAAAAAAAAGGGAGAAAAAATAATTTCAAGAGGAAATGAACAATGAGAAACTGATTTACAAGACGCCGCAGGCACGTTAGCACACAATATCCTTGCAGCATTTTCAACTAAGTTTATCATCATTTGGAGCAAGATCTGGTTATGTCCTGTAACATTCTGTCATTGCAGGTGAGATTCCTACACCAAATCCTTGTGATCCGAAGTATTTAATCTAGGATACCGAGAACAATATGATTAAGTCTAGGCCAATTAGCTAGCATTATTTGCATTATTTCAAACATGGACAAGAATTGAAGTTACTAGTTCGCTAAGTTTCACATGTTTAACCTACCAAAATAGTCTATCTAAGAATTGTAGAATATGTTGTATAAAGGAATTGAGCAACGCAACTCATGAGTTTCTAACAATGCAAGTTCACAAACAACCAAAGAAAGACGAGTAGAGATATGGAACACCTTTGGCAGAAAGTGTCCAACGCAAAGAACATAATCAATAGGTGCCTCCAGGCCCTTATGATGAACTACCTCTCCCAGAATCCGATCAATTGCTGCTCCCTGTATAGACATGCAGATACCAATTAGCAAAGTGGAAAATGAGGATCAAGGATTCTAGAAAAGTAGAACTAAATCTAGGGGAGGGGTCCTAGCATGCAACTGAGTTCACTTGCAACCTTTGAGACACCAACCGCTCGAACCTCAACAGATCTACCACCTTGGACAACATCAACTGATGCATTTGATATTGGGCCTGTCCATAGATGCTGCAGTAGATCTCTTGCTTGAATTCTTCCAAACTCAACATCTAATTGCATGATTAAAATAAGCCAGCAACTTACCCTTTTCGGGGGAACAAGTTGGTTCAAATGAAAAGATTGTCACATACCTGCATACTTGTAATTCCATACAATTGAAGTCTCACGCAGCTCAAAATGGGATCGTGGTGTTCTTTCAGTAAAGTACTCAAAAACTTGCTGAAATTTTATATAATTCTCTTAAAAACGTAGGATGGAAATAATGTAAACTTTACATAAAAGCAGTCATGTTGCTGTAGTATTCACTGACCTTCACACTATCAACCCAATCCATGTTTAACATTTCAGGCATGGTTGTCATCCATTCACCAGTAGTAGGACGTAAAAACATCCCATTTTCTGCTGCCAGCCACACGTCGTATTCGCTGAAGTTCTGCACAAAGAATTTCCAAGTCAAAAAGAAACTCTTATAAGAACCCAATAAACAAACGCCATTTGAGAGTTGACAGTACTTTGTCCAGGACGCCTCGATCACTCCCACTAAGAACAATTACTGTTGTCTTCGGATCATCAGATAACTTCTTTAAAGGATCTTTTACATTTGGGTGCAATTTAAGCTCCAGTTCTCTAATTTGGCCGCCACTCCCAAGGGCATCCACTGGTTCAGTCAAAGTGGCATTGAATCCCTGAAGCGCAGCGATGGCAAATTGAGGAAGTCATGGTATTAACATTAAATCAATTCAATATTAAACTGTGATGCATATGAAGATACGTAAGATACTGTATCAAACTCGTCCTCTGATGAAATTTCTAGCAAAGGACTTCCCATTAAATGACTTGACAGATTACCAGAATGATTAATCGATTATTGGATTTTGAGTAACGATCAACTGTAGCTTCATGGGGAAGTGGGGGTGGAACTTGTCTCCTCCTAAGCTGAGCTTCAACAATGGTGTCATTCAGTTCACTGCATCAAAAA